TCTACATGTTAACATGCTAAATGCTAAAGAAATCATATCAAATACATATACGTCATACTAAGTACATAATTTGCAACACAATTTATTGGGCACTCACCTTTTCGCACAACGCGCGTGTATAAAACTAGTAACTCAAATAAGAAGGAATAATTTGTTACTACTTTGTGTGTTAAATCAAATACAATATCTAATATGCAAAAAAAATATATGCTATATAAAATACTTCGTATTACGGAGTTTACCAAATCACAATATATATATAAATTTTGTCATTGCATAATTAAGTGTATATTAGTTTAATGTTCCATTCTAAGTTAAAATTTTAAAAGATTATGCTCATTAATACTTCATTCGTCTCATTTTATATGCTTTACTTTATTTTTTCGGTTGCTTCAAAATAAGTCACATTTTTAAATATATATGTGGTTTACTGCATTTCAATTTATTGTACACAAATCTCAATCAAAATTTTTAATTTTTTAACCACTTTATTACTCCTCCGTCCCATTTTATTTGTCTTATTTTTCTTTTCGGGTTGTCCCAAAACAAGCATTATATTTCCATTATTGAAAAGAAATACGAGTATGTGATCTATAACATTTCACTTTACTATATTCAAATTTCAATCATAACTTTTATTTTTTCAACCACTTTATTAATAATAGCGTTAGATCAAGATAGGCAGGCCCGTGCCTTATGTTAGGCTGGAGAGGCCCAAGCCTTAGGGCCCCAAAAAATTGGAAAAATTAGGGGCCCATAATTTTGTAAACATTAATATTATTATACCTATGTATTTTCCAAGGCCGTCGCCATTTGGGGCGGTTCTCGGTGTAATTTTTTGATGAAATTTTTTGTGTATCTTCTTCATTAAGTCTAATTTACCCGTACCAAATTTCAGTAAAATATTCAATCGGGAAGGCAGTCAAATGAATTTTTGAAGATAACTGCGTAGTTAAACAGCACAGTATATTTCAGAAAATCATTTGACTGCCTTATTGGTTGAATTTTTTGCTGAAATTTGATATGGATAAACTAGACTTAATGAAGAAGATTCTAAAAAAATTTCATCAAATAATTCTACTGGGAACCATCCCAACTGACAACGATCGGACATAACCTCTTTTATAAGGGGTGATTTGCACTTTTTAAGTTAGTTCGAGGGCTGATTTGTAGAGAAAATTAATAGTATATATTCTTGAGGATTCCACTAATTTATGTAGCTAAAAGCCTAAAACTGTTCGACGGGTTTTACTTAAGTAATTTTTTAATACATTCAATGTCGTTTTGTGATAATGGAAGACTTTTACTGAAAGATTACGTTTTTGTGATATTTAATCATTCAATTTTAGTGAATTTATATGATAAACAATCGCTGTGTGGGGCCCATTTTATGAAGCTCGACTCAGGCTTGAGTTTAGGTAGGACCGGCACTGCTTGAAACATTCATCGATCATATATCTCTTCTTATGGAAATAATTACAATACTTTCTTTTGCCTTTGGGTTTTTAGCTGGATCTGTTTTGTGAAGAATTACCTCTATTTGTGGGTCTCCCTCGTATGCTGAATCCTTCGGCTTTTGAATCACTTGTACTGGTGCAAACAATCTGCTTCATCTTTTCCTTCGAATCAAGAGAGATCATTATCTCATCCAAGACGAGAGTGTCTCGGCTATAGATGATGGTATCACGAAAGTGTTCATAGGAATCTGGGAGTGAGGTTATTAAGAACAATGCCAAATCTTCATCTTCGTATTTGACGTCCATATTCTCCAGATTACCTACAAGCAATTTGAATGTAGGTGATCAGACAAAGCATTTCCCTCGGCCATCTTCAAGGTAAAAAGCCGTTTCTTCAGATGTAACTTATTGGGCAAACTTTTCGTCATAAGTTATTCTAGTTTCAGCCAGAGAGACGTTGCATATGTCTCTTTCAAAACGTCTTGGAGAACGTCGTTTGATAGATGGATGATAAGTCCGTATTTAGAGACACATTTGATGCGTGTTGGGATTGAATTTTGATGGTTTTCCTAGCTTTAAGGTGTTGCAAGTCTCAATTTTAGCTCAAGTTATGTTTACCAGGCGTTGGTTCGAGTTTTGTGTCATTTGGAGTCAAAATCAGGAATTTAGAGTTCGGAACCGGCGCTTGAGGAGAAATCGGGACGATTCTAGAAGCATTTGAGAGATTTAGAGGTCAGTGGGAGGTTCACGATGAAGATTTGATGACAAAAGAGCTATAGGATTGGCTTCGGGATCAAAAGAAGATGAATGAAGCTTGAAAACGCCGATCAGGATGACCTTCTGTCAATCATTCAAGCATATCTCTTTGTAGAAACAACCAATAGACACGATTCAAGTTCTATATGAAATCCAACTTCAAGAGCTACAAATCATAAGAAGACACCATTGCGAATATCTGAGAGAAAGAAGGTGAAAATAAACGATGAAGTCAGATGATCTCTGCTGCGATTTCAGAATCACACCTTCCACCGTTTTGATCAGATGTCTTGATTGGATGATTCAAATCACATCCGGCAAATTGGGGTGCATAGAAGACTTCATTATCTACAACTTTCATTAAGGAAGCATTGCCAAATTCGGAAGTTAAGTAAGCACGATCGTTCCCTCAAAGTCAGGCACGATCGTGCGTGAAGAGAAAGTATCGCGGAGCTACTGCCCAAAATGCGCGATTTTGCTCCGGAGGCACGATCGAAGGCACGATCGTGCCTGGCACCGTGCCTGCCTCCGGAAATCCCAATTTAGCTCAAATTTCACCCGATTTTTCTATTTAAACAACCTGGTAAACCCCCATTTTCGGGGGGGGGGGGGGGGGGGGGGGGGGGCTTAGAGAGAGTGCCTAGCACGAATTTTAGAGGGCTTTTCAGCCTTGTTCATCAATCTTTTGGGATTCTTTGTAAGTTCCACCTTTTTAATTAATGACAATTAATTCTTTTTATTCCAATTCTATTGATTCTTCAATTATGAATTGTGAGTAGTTTTAATTAGGGATTTGGGATTGATGAAGGGGTTGATCATTATGTATGGCTAGATTCTTGATGGGTTAATTGCATGAATGCCGTTTAATTTGTGCTTGAATAATTTAATTGATATCTTTTGTAACCTGGAACCGCGGCTAGAATTACAATTGCATGTAGAATAAGTTAAAAGATATAATTTATTCTAGGACACATTCACACACACTTAATCGTTCACTAAGAGATTAGTAGCGATTAAGGGGCCGTAAGCTCACTCGTCTTGGCAATAATTTAGGATCCTGTCGCATGAGAGATCAGTCTGGTCCCCTAAATTATTGTACTTTACGTCGCGAGAGCGGTAAGAACTTAGTATTGATTAGCTAGGTTCAATTAAATTAAATTCATGTAATTAGGCCTGATCTGCACAAATGAAAGAAACATTTATAACATACGTAACTTACAAAATGAATATCAAAAAGTTCAAAAGCTTCTTTCATTTTTCTTATTCTCTTATGTGTTTAAATGTTCATTTGTGCACATATATTATAAGGACAAATATAGTAATTTATATTAAAAATAATTTAGTCTTTTGTTCTAAAATTATAAATGTAATCGAGTTCTTTTCATAATGTTACACATACATACGATAGTATTTGTTTTATACTATACTCATTTTAGCATAACATAAAACTCATGTTAGCAATTGACACTTTATATTTAATAAGCTAATAAATGTTCATCTTAAATAAAAAAAATAGAAAATAACACATTCATCTCTTAAATATTCATCATAAATTAAAACCAAGGCAAAAAGGCGGTAAAGAAAAAAGGAAAAAGAAGTAAAAGAGAATCTTCGTAAAAAGCAAAAAAAAAAAGTGTCAGATATGGATGAAGGTGGCCAGGTAAAGACTTACGACAGCAGCTGTATAAGACGGCATGGAATGGAAGGATTAAAGGAGCATACGGGCGTCGGCGGACGAATGCAATCACGAAGAATTACAAAAAAAACTCGGATGTAGGTACATCCGGGTGTACCTTATAATTTACGTGGCTTGTGACTGTCCAGGTATACTTTTTCGGTTAAATTTTAGGCGATAGGATTTTGGTTTATTCACTGAATTTAAAACCAGAACCATTCAAAACTAGAATCATCCCCAAACATGTTCACCTCTCCCCCACCTAGGCCCATCTCGCCTCAATTAGAACAATAGAGAAAGAATGTTGATCATTAGTAATAAATATAATGAATTAGTAACACATGAATTGGTTGAATATGCAGAAATTAGTATAGCTAAAACCATTCTCTACAACAACTTACATATTTTTATTTTTACACAACTCTGCAAAATCCAAAGTTGTGATTTGGCAAAAAGTTGAGTGATAAGTTGAACAAAGGATTACCAAATGCACTTATGCACTCTAAGATCTTCCTCCATGTCTTGAACATATCTTCCCCAAGATCTTCACTAGACAGATTCCCACAGGTTATTTGTAATGTCATTTTTCTAATTTAAATATACTCATTATTTATACATTTCATAGTATCCCCTTTACTAATTATTTCTAATTCCCACAGGCCTTTAGTTTAAAGTTTATAACTCATAAAAATACGTAGTAATAATTAATGATTGTCCAGTAACTCAGCGAGTCAAAACTTGACACTGAGCTAAGAAAATCACTGAAACACTGAAAGAGTAACTTGGAAAAATGAACAGGCCAATTCAGAGTGCAAATCAGGACACTCTGCCCCCGAGTTGTGAGTAGGTAATACAAAACCTATGAAGCACAAAAACTTTCGAAAAAAAGTACATTTTTAGTTTCAACTCTGCCAAAACTCTTTGAAAACTCTCTAAAAAGTTGCTTGTCTGTTAGAAGAGGCGTTAACCATTTCTCATTTCCTCATGCTTCCCATATTTCCGGGCAACATAGCACAAAACACTAAACCGAGCAGTTCTATCCTGCAAAACTTGATAGAGATCTTCAATTGCTCTCTCCAAACCCAGGTTACATCGGCTCCCAAATTTTAGTGTATACATATAGACACTATACACAAATGTTTATAATCCATAAACAAAATATATTGAAATTAATTTTCCAACTACAACCTTCCATATAATGATATACCACATTTCTAACTGCTCTAAGACACAGAAAACACAGATCCCTCGATTCACAAAGTAGCCAAATGATTATCAGTAAATTTCAAATTTTCAATCAAGTTACACAACTTACACTTATAATCTGAGATTACAAACTGAAATATGCTCAGAAATCACATCTGAAGCATCACCTTATAGACTCGTCAATTTCAATGTCAACCACCTCAACGTCATCAAACGGATCCTTCTTCGGGGCAGAGGGCGGAATCGAAACCCTAGGTGGTCCTCTCCCCTTACGCTTATCCTTCGGTCTGGCCTACACAAAAAATAGTTCAACCGAAAATGCTAATTCGTACAGTGAATTGATCAAATTCAAATTACGAAACAAAAATTCGTTGAAATAGACTCACATTTCCAAATGAGTGATTGAAACGCTTGCCTCTTGCCGTCTTCTTATCTCCTCTTCCGCAGTAGACTACAACCAAAATTGCGAAACATAAAACTTAATTTCACTGAAAACAGATATGTATCCACAGAGAGAACAGAGTGAGAGTAAACTTGTCTGTGATAATCAGTGCGTACTCAATGGAAGGCTCGGGCAGGTGACGGAAAACGACAACGACGAAGAAGATTTCACCGGAAGAGAAGAGACGGCGTGTGATGAGGAGAGTGGTGGAGTGAGAGCCACTATTGGAACTGCACCGGCTAGTAGTAATGCCATCGAAATTATGCGTCGTCGAAGATCGAATGGAGGAGAGTCTATGCGTTTTCTGGCTTTAGATAAAGGCTTGGGACGATGTTGCTGATGGTCCAAATGGATGTAGTAAAGGCGGGGGTGAACAAATGTAGATTGTAATTCTTCATTTTATTTTTCTTATCCATAATTTATGTGAATAGTTTTAAAGGGTAATTTGAGATTCCCTTATTGTCAAAATTAAACTTTACATCCCGTTTTCTAAAACTTTTACTTTTATACATCAACCTCATATGAAAAAACAAAAATGTCACTCGATCAGAAATATGTTGAAGGCCAAACGAATTGTTAATAGAAGGGCAATTTTCAGTTTTAAAAGTATTTGCCAGTAAATATTACAATCCAGTAAGCGTTCCTTTTCAGTTTTGAGATGCCAAAACTATACTAAAACTGCCTGATGGATAATCTACCCGGGGTATCTTATCCGAGGGGTTATTTCGGGAATAACTTAGAGAGAAGTCAGATCAAATAGGAGGAGAGAGAGTCGATTTATTAAATGAACTCGAGATGTGGAGTTGGGATCTCTACAAGGAGAAATGGGCTGCTATTTATAGCAGCAATAAATGCGATGAGAGTACACGTGTCAATAATCCAATGGCTGAGGGGTCACATCAGTCGGGTGGCACCAGCAGTGGTACGTTCACCGCATTGAATGCGGTTGGCGGATGTGACGTGGCATTAAATGCGGTGGTTGGTTGTCTCCAAAAGGAATCTCCGATGATTGAGTATGTTTGGCCGAAGGCTCCTTGTGTAGCCGAGGGCTCCACGTGACCAAGGACCCCTGCGTAGCCGAAGGCCTTGTGTGACCGAAGGCTTGGTTCAGCCGAAGGCTTCCCTGATGCCGAGGGCTTGATAGTGCCGAAGGCTCATGTTTTTCGTCGTTTTCTCCCAGTAGCTTCGTACGCCAGAGAAAGCTATCATGTGAGTTTTGGAGCCTTCGGCCAAGGAGGCCGAAGGCACCCCAGTGTGTACTCCGGGCTACTTTGAGGCTTGGGCCGTTGTATTTGGGCCTGAGTTGTTTCCTGAGCTCAATGGACTTGTGTAGGAGAAGTAGGAGTCTATGGGCCGGGGGTTCCTGGGCCATATACTCCATCAGGAGTCCCTCAATCCTTTTGCCGAAAGGTACTTGAGGGAAAAGGAGTAGATGTGTTGATTCTTCTGGAGGCTTCATCATTTAGTTGGGCGCCTTTGTTTGAGAACTTGCCTTCTGCTGATTGCCGAAGGCTTCCCTCAGTCCCTCACATGTCGAGGGTTTTCTGAGGGAAGTATAACACCTGTATGACTGCCGAAGGCTTTCCTCAGTCCCCCACATGTCGAGGGTTTCATGAGGAAGAGTATAGATGTATTGCCCGTATGTGTTGTTATGAGGGCTGCTTTATTTCCGCAAGTGACTTGGGAAAAATACTGAGACTTTGCTGAAGGGGTTCCACTTTGATGTTTGTCCGGAGGCTGCACGCGTCAATTGTAAATTGTTGTATGAAGAAATTTTTGTTCTGTATGATTCCTGAGGGGTATACCCCAGTCCCCCACTCCTTTAGGCCGAAGGCAAGTTCGGGCTGAAGGAGTTATGATGTGTTGATGCAAACCCGAGGGGTGACAATATTGACAAGCCGGGGGCTTACGCTGCCGCAAGCTCGAAGGCGTTTGGTGGAATCCGTTGTCTGAGGGCTGCGGAGGGCGATAGTCGGAGGCTATCATTCGAGGGCACTCCATTGTTTCCGAAATATAGCCGTTGTGATATAGCCGTTGGAAGAGGGGTTGACGTTGCCGGCTGTCGTTGGTTGAAGGTGGGCGGGAACCATCCATTGGTCGAACCGGCGGCCCGTAATGATGGGCTTTGAATCAAAGCCCAGTTCTCGAGGCCCACTTGCCTATAAATACCCCTAGGCCAGACCTCATTTCTCTTGTGCGTTCCATTGTTAGCGAAGCTCTGGCGAAAATTTTCTAGAGAGAGAAAGTCCTTCCTCCGATCAAAACGAGCTTTTAAGGTTAGTTCCTCGCCTGCTCTTGATCTCCTTAGTACATTTTGCTTCCCATTCCTTAGATCTAGTGTTTCAAGCCTTCGTCTAGAACCCCTTTAAGAACATGTCTTCCGGAAGCGACTCTCAAAACATATCGGAGGAGGCCCCGGCACAATCTGACAGCTACTCGAACACGGGGTCATCGAGTGAGGAGGTCTTGTCGAATAATGACTCTGAGGTGGCGAGGAAGATGCAAAACAATCTTCATGCCGAGGCCGAAGCCGAAGCCGAAGACTTTGAGCAGGTCGCGGAGGACGAGGAGATGGCCCTCGCACTTCAGGTAGCCGAAGAGGAGGAGGAGAAGGAGAGGCAACGAGTTACCGTTGCTGCTCTGCCACTGCGGAATGCCGGTGAAGCGAGCAGCTCCCGGCCGATTGACGCCGTGCCCCTTCGGGTAGCTTCGGGGAAGAAGAGGAAGAAGCAGAAGGCTGTCCTGAAGAAGAAACAGGCTGCGGTAGATGAGGGGCAGCCAGTTGGAATTCCCGAAGGGCACTCCTACCTTAATACGGCCGCACTTGAGTTGAAGACGAAGGCCGGGGAGGCAGAATACCTCAAAACCCAACTTCCGGTCGGGCCGTCGGCACAGGTGGTGGAGCCAGGTCCTGATGACGTGCTGCTATCTCCCCCCGAAGGCTGCTTTGCCGTGCATATCCTTTCGGTAGAGTTGGGCCTCCGCTTCCCCTTGCACCTCTTCGTTGTGCAATACCTTCGGTTCGTAGGCCTCGCTCCCTGTCAGTTAACCCCTAACAGCCATTCATACTTGGCGGGGTTCCTCTCTCTGTGTGATTCCCGGGGGGTGGAGCCTTCTCTCGACCAGTTTTTCCTGTCCTTCTCTCGACCAGGGTAATCTCTGGTCGATCTGGTGCCTTTGGCCGATGCGGTCCCCTGACCGATGCAAACCCCGGCCGATGGGGGACCCACTTCGTCTCCAGGCAACATTCTGAGCAATTCTGGCTTTGGCCATTGCGGGACCCACCTGGCCGAAGGGCGCCATGTGGATGTCCCTCTCTGGTGTCTTTGACCTTCTGAGTGAGTATGCGGGTCATGGGGCCTAAGCTCATATACTCTATCAACCACATTAGTAATGAAATCATAATAACTTATGTTCGATTTTAAACATAAGTTAACAGAACACTACATTGTAGTAATTATTAGTCATATTTGTGTGAATAAATTTTATTTTAACCCATAAAAATGATTGTGTGATTCAAAATAGGACCGTCATAGCCTAAATATGAGTAATTACTATTTTCTTCGTCCCGCAAAATAGTTCCTGATTTCCTTTTTGGGTCGTCCCAAAAAATAGTTTTCATTTCCCCTTTAGGAAAGTTTTATGTAGCTCACATTCATTTACCTTTTCTTACTCAACCATAACAATACATTTTCACGTTATTCCCACTTTCTTAAACTCCGATTCAAGTCAATGCGGGAACTATTTTATGGGACGGAGAGAGTACATGTTTTGGTAGTACCATACCTTAAACATGACAATGCCCCTGTTTGGATATCAACGGATTTGGCCAATCCGCCAAATTTTTACAAAGTGAAACGCTGCAAAAAGCAGTGGATTTGTGTGAAACCTCCAATAAACAAACGGAGCCAATATTTCTTAAACTTCGCCGTAATTACTCATATTTAGAAAATATTCAAAATAAAAACATGACAATCCTGTTTTAAAATTCTCAAATGTTTTTAATCTTATTTCGAGAATTTTCCATACTAAAAATGACAGGTCAAAGCACTTTAACACCCTCATCTATTCTTTTTCAAGCACACAACATGCAGTGGAAAAGAAATTCACAATTCCACAATCAGCTTAAACGTGTGTTTGGACATTTTTGGTTGAGCTGTACGAGATGAAAGTCTCATATACGGTTCTAAGGGGGGAAATTAGCCTATTTCAGTTAGGGCTTTCTATTTTGAAGCTCAATTTGAATCGGATCTTCAATTCATATTTTAGTCTCCCAAGAACGATTTTTAAAAATTTTATTCATTTGTTTCATCACGCTCTCATGAACTGGCAGTTCCTTTAAGTTAAGGTCAGATTTATTCTCCTTAAGTTTTCCTTTTCTCCCCTGGCGTTCCCGACTTCTCAGTCTATTCTCCTAGATGTCTCCCTCATCCCTCCACCTAGAGACGAGGGCGGGGACTTCATTTCGAAAACTACAAGTCTAATTGACTAACCAGAAAAAAATACTCTTTGTGTACACATTATTTGTACACTTTTTGCGTACACACGCCTAGTTGCCGGTGTGCACAGGCAGTTCGTTCACGAGCTGCCTGTGTACACAGACAACTAGGGGGTTTGTACAACAAATGTGTACAACTAAAGTGTACAAATAGCTTTTTCCATGCAGACATTAGGTAACAGGGAACAAAGAAGTGTCAAGTGAAACAAAATCACAAATATACAAAAAATAATTATAAACTTTCAATGCATTCGCAAGCATAACTAATTCTTGGACAAAATGGGTGCTGCTTTGTCTGTTCCCAGCAGATTGTTGTTGTTGCTCTTACTATCAGTATTATTACAATTATTATTTTTATTATATATTACAGCATGTCTAAGGAGCTCATAAAAGTAGCATCACTATTGTTGAGAGGGAAAGGATATGGCAAGCATACAAGAAGACCCATTAGCATGACTGCGATACCAAGAGCTACGTATTTGTTGTCCGGATCTGAAATTTCTTCAGACAGTGGAGCAACCGGTCCTCTCTGTAATATGAATATTAGAACTGCCCAGTAAAATGCCACGTCACTGAATAATGCTGATATCCCAAGAAGTCCAATGGAGATAGAACTGAGGCGTGTGGAAGCCTGTGTCACATCTAAAGTCAATTTGGGGAACAATGTACATAGTAATATCTAGTACTGTCAGACCGAAAATTCAACAATTCAGTTGATTCCACCATGTGTTCCTCAATCTAGGCATTTTCGGCTTAAAACTTGTTCTTTTATAAGTAACTGAAATGGATTGGGGCGCATAAGAATAACAAATGTCACAATAACAATAATTTTTTGTTCTTTTATTAGCAACTGAAATGGATTTGTGAGTTAATGTACATTTAAGCACAATTTC